CAAATCTTTCAACAAAAAATAAGTACTTTTTAAGCACAAAAATATTTTTAAGCACTATATACATTACAAAATGACTTTCAAAGACTTCACATGACCATGATAAAATAACTAGTTTCTGATAAAGAATTCTTGATTATATAAGCCATCATAAAAAGATTAAGAGCTTTTTTCAGTTTTTAAAATGAGGGTGGAAAATTAAGCTTGAAATTGCATCTAGCAAAATGCAGCAGAGTTACACACGAGAATGCTAGAATCTCACTGAACGCAGTTCAGTAGACACATATGCAGACTTGTAAGTATTTCATCAAACCTGTAAAATGATTGGCGCTTTCATACGCTATGGACCGACGGTACGCCGAAATGCATTGTATTTGAATGAATTGAGAAAAAGTTGAAAAGAACAGTGTGAAAACCACGGTTTTGTCAATTGGAAATACTTGGCGAAAATCGACATGGTAAAGAAAAAAACTCATTTTCGAAAAGGGAAAATTAAGCACCTTCAAGGGGTTTTAAGAAACGAAATCGAAAATAAGCACCTTTAAGCACTTCTTAAAAACGCCACGCACCATGTATTAAGGTTAAAGCAATTTCGCTCAGAATTAGGGTTCAAAGTTGAAATTTATATATTTTTACAAGTTTAATAATGCGTATATGACTGTGATCACGTTTATATTTTTTTTACTAAACTTGTCATTTCAATCAATTACCTAATTTCCTCGTCTTATATTGCAAGCTAATTTGATCAGAAGGTAAGAAAAATGAGAAGAAAAAAATGCACAGTGCACATAATATAAAAAGTTTCTCCCTGAATAACTTTTGATCTAATGATCTTCATTTTCTAACACACAATCCTTATAGTTTGAGGGAGTGATCTCAAATATGCAAATTAATAGAGCAGACGTTATTTAAAGTTACAAAATCAGACACAAAAACGTACTTTCTTTTAATAAATAAACCATTTTTTTTTTTCGAGCGATTCAGATTTCCGACACCGGAAATATAGAGGGTAGCCGAAATCTGGGAAATATAGTCCCAAATGAAATTCGCTTATGCTAAAATAATTTCAAACAAATATAACTTTTATTAAGTATTTGATATTTTTTATTATTTATTTCAGTCGAAAAAATTTTAAATTGTAATATACATAATTTTTTACACCATACTAAAGAACGTTACTTAAGATAGCATTATATTATATTTGAGAAAAATGGCAAAAAGATCCTAATAAATCTAATTTTAATTATACTACTTTTTGAAAATTCGATTTCTCAGGATCATACTCTCGAGCAATTAAGTACGAGTCCTAGA